GCCGGGGTTACACCCCTACTCTTTTCGAGAAACGCCCTGGGATTTTTAATGACCACAGAGAGTCAGGACCTCGGTTATACGTCTCATCCGAAGGACGGCACCTGTTTACAGTATAGTGTCCCCGTCACTATACTGGGGCATTAGGACCCACATGGACCGCAGGGTGAGCGCCCCCTGCTGGCCCCACTAGAGTGCAAAGCATATTATACAATAGGCTTTGTAAAGTTGTATAGAGTTATGGAGGTTGCAGACCAAACGGACTGACCTCAGTGGGCGGTGACCTGCTTCAGGAGGTGGGCTTACCCAGGTCAACTGAAGAAAAAGGCTGCTCTTATGTACATGTACATTTGGTCAGACATTCAGCGCAGAGAAATTAAAATCGCTTTTTTCAAGCAAGGAAAGAAACAAAAAAAAAGCACAGCTGAAAGGAAGAAATTCTGCTTAAGACTATTACTTAAAACACAGGTAGTGACAAAAAATATTTCTCTAAATGCAGAGCTCAGCGTTATCAAAACAATCATTTGAAGCTTTGATCAGACAGCACACAGTACATTTAAAATCATAGCTATCTGCTATGACTATAGTATTTTTTGGAAATATTTTATCCTTACATGTAGAATTCGGCCTTTTTAACTTTGCATTATGTTTGCCACTGTGTGGGTCCCTGTAAACCCTCCCTCTTTAAATGGTACGAAGCTCACAGCCTGGATAGGGACTGCTCGTGTGAAAGCAGCATTCTGAAGGGTGGTGCTGAGGCTGACTCCATCCTGGGCAGTGCCCATTCATCACAGACCAATCAAGGAAATTACAACAAGTGATAAGTTACAGTGTGTCCTATATACTGATGCTTGTTTTGTGCTCAGGGAAAAGTTTTTTTTATTTCCTGATGGATATTAATTCAGGAGGTAATGTTTTAAAAGACCATACTTTTTAATGTATTTTATTTTTATTAGTTTCATAGACTCATTTGTTTTAGAGAACATAAAATTAATAAATAAAGGAAAGCAGTCAACTGTATGTAGTTATGAGCCTATTTGTTTAAAAAAATTAACACTGAAATTACATTATACAAAAGCTTTTGAATATAGGCTCAATTTCTTAAAATATCTTTCACAGACATTACATACAGATGTCCTGATGCCTTGCAGAGCACCCCATTTTACCGTTTCACAACCAAAGGAAAACGAAAGAATAATGTTTTGGCTCAAAGAAAGCATATCTGTCTCACTTGGTGTTGACTCATCTTCGCTGAACTACTGAAACAATGCCAGGTACCATCAGAGATACCAGCACTTGCCTTTTTCCATTTCCAACAAAACTGCATTTTTTGTAAGGGACAAAAAAATGGTATTCCCATTAAACAATACCTTCTCAACAAATGTAATTGGCCTATGTCCAGTATGGAAGCTTACCCCCTTACTTGCAGTATTTATTTAGAAGGAGGATACACTGTCCAATCTCACATGCATCGACAAACACTCTTTTTCTTGACTGTTTAGCAAGTTAATAAGGACAAGCATTCTAAGGATTCCTTTCAATGCCTTTGGCGGCAGCTTTCACCAGCTCTCTAATTAAGACTGCCATCCTCTTGAGAAGCAGAACACAATGAATCATTGTCCCAATCTTTTATTTCCGGAAAGGCCAGCACCATTTTTTGAAAAACAGAAAACTGTTTAAAGTTTGAAAAAAACAATTCACATGAGTGCTATGAGGTCAGCACTCTTAAAACTGAAGAATGCTGGCTCCCTTAAAGCAATACAGCCCTTCTCACACCACAGGTATATTCACAGTGAAAGCTGGATGAAGTATAAATTATATTGTTTTAACATCTTAAACACTGTTTGTGTCATGGCTGATTGCGTATCCAATGAATTACAGCTAGGCAAAGTGAGACAGTGTGCCAGTATGACCTGTGGTCCCCCTTCCCCCACCCTCACCAATGCTGAAACAAAAAATGCTTTATCTCTATAAAATGTAATTTAACCCCGAGTCCTCTGGGTCTTTTTAAGTGTCACCCAAACTCATTAGTTTGGGCAGGCCCATCTCTGGGACACCCGGCACATTGTTAATCTCATAAGCCTTCTCAAGAAGCCCTCCACTCAGCGGATCAATGAGTGGTGAAACACAAGAGTGTCTCTGTGTGCAGAAACAATGGCTAATGAAGATGTTACTGTCAGCCGAGCAAGATCAATTAACAGGCTGCAACTCACCTGCCTACAGGGTGATTCACCTGCAGCACAGAAACAAAGAGAGAGGGCTCGATCTCTGTCTCTGAAGTGCAAGTGCCAGCAGTGCAAACCACATGCAACACTGGGAAAGTGACGACCTCTTAGTCATCTCAATAGCTACTCGATCTTAGAGACACCCGCATGGCAACACATCCTTGAGCTAGTCCCAGATCCGCTCCATTAAGGTGCAGAAAAGGTGCAGAAACTCAAGTCTTCCAGACAAAAATAATAAAATAAAGGCCAAAATTGGATTTTATGTAACGTTCCACATGCAGAGGACAATTTGTCTCCTTGTTTTGCGTGTAATTACAATCAATTTCCAATAACCAAAACTGTATTACTAATGAGAAATATTTTAAGATAATCTGACATGTCTACAATAAAGGTCCAAGTTCTTATTCCAAAATCATTATTTTTTTCTCCGTTTACTTCAGCATTTTTAGTAGGTACTGCATAAAAAAAGCCAGTCACTGAGTTTCACTTACCACTTGGATTGAAAGCCATGCAAGAAATGGGCTTATCGTGGGCAGGAAAGTGAGCCACAATACCCTCCCCATCAGAGTCCTCATTGACCAGAACCTGAAGAAGAGAAACAGAAAGTCTTAGCCTCCTAGTTACAGGTTGGGTCCACTTAACTGCAAAACTATCAGCATCAAGTCAGGTCAGGTGCATGTCTAATGACAGGAGCTGTAGCATATCATGTGTAAGTAATTAAAAGTGAAAAAACTTTAATGGGGATACATACGAATTCTATAGCCATGACAGGTATTCAAAAGCTTCACATGTTAACAATACGCTATAATACTTATTAAAGCTTGTTTTTTTGCACAAATTTAAACACCTTACCACAGTGGAAACTGAAAAAACAACATTTTGTTTTGTTCAAAATATTACTGTCACAATTGTTTGGTGTGGAAATGCGCATCTTTAAGATGTTCAACAAAGGAATATGATATGGCGTGATGATATACTGATATGTTATACACATGGCATGACATGGTATAAGATAATCTTAGTGGTGAAAAGCCTTTTGACAGGAATTTTAAAATCACAATATTGTATACTGAAATAAAATGTAATTTGTATGTACTGGAACTCTGTTTTAGTATGAGCTGAAACAAATATAACTTAAACTACTAATTGAAAAGTGTTTTCCTTTTAATACGAGGTCTACAACTAACACTGGGAGATGCCAAATACAGAATGTTATGTCCCAAAGCGACCTGGTTAACGCTGTTATTCTTCCTCTGAAAGAGCATCAGAGTGGCTTGGGGACTCTCCAAGCAGGTCAGACCCCTACAGCGCTCAGACATGCTGCCTTAAACACCTCCAACACAGCTTCCCAGTCACAGCTCCCTTTTTAACCTCTGGAACAGCATCCCCTGCATGTGTCTGACCAACACACTTCGTGGCCAACAGCTCAACAAACACTTATCGCTGAACCTGTGAGGTCAACCTGCAACATCAAATCTCACGCTGTCATTTTCCCCCCCTTTATTAATCACATCATTGTGCTTTTTTCCTCATTCCCTGCATTGTAAAAACACCGCTATGATGAACAGATTCATCGGGAAATGAATGTCTTTACCACCTTGGATCTAAGCACACGCTGGAAGGCCTTTTAATGGAAGCTATCAGCAGCTAAAGCGACTACAACACACTGTGGCAAATCCAAAACAAGAAGAACAAGCTTTGAAACTAATGGGCATTTTCCCTAACAGCACTGCTGCATCTGTTCTTCTCAATCAGGAGTGCTGGACTGAAAGAAATACAAAACATTGGGGGGAAAAGAAAACATGTTTCACTGGTTGGTCCTGACACAGGTTATTTCAGTACATGTTACAAAGCATAAATATTTTTGGTCCAAGCACCATCATAACCTTTCCGCCAGTTCCGTTTCAGCAGCCTACTTCAGCACCTAATCATGGTGTGGCTTTAGCTAAGTTTCAGTTCAGAAAACAGGGTATTGTAAAATAAATAACAAAGCAGAACATGAATTTCCATTAGGGAATAGTGTGCACTCACTAGAATCTAGTAAATGGCTCGGACACGGAAAAAACTATTTTAGGAGCTGAGCATCAGAAGCTTCCTGAGATTTAAAGTGTCAACCTGTTCATTTACAACTTTGCTAGAATGTTTTCTTTTCATCGCTTTTATGTTTCTGATACGCACCAAGCCAATTTGGAATCGCGAGTTGTATGTTTTTCACATCTCAGCTTTTACCAACAAAAAATGCAACAGCACACGGGGAAAAAGAGGTACTGTCGACAGACTCTTCCAACCCACCCACCTTTGAGTCATTAATCTTTGGACACATTAAAGGCTATACTCTCCCTATCCAGACACCAGCACATCCCTTGCTCACAACACTGCTTGCCTGCAAGCACCTAGGAAGTCTCATTGGATGCAGCTTTGCCTGGAGCCTAACTGACTAATGCCAAATGTTCGCTTTCATTTGGTCAGTCAGTGGGTGATTTGATCCAAGTTAGATCCCACAAGTCCTGGATCACAGAGCCCAGACCCTGCTCCAGCAAACACCTTCAGAGGTGATGAGCGTAATGGCTGCTGTGTGTCACCCAGGTGGTACTGTGCTTCAGTGGTTGATGATGTAGGTCCTCTCCTATATGTGCAGTGACGTGGGGATCCTTTGCAATGGATAACTATTAAATATACACTGTCAAATGCACAAGTCCTGCATTATTACAAAGAGTATAACACAGTATGCTCCACGCCTGGCAGTAATTTAGCCCTACAATGGCTTGTGAATGTGCCGAAGTGAGGGAGAGGGCAGCACACTTTGAAGTTGCTGCAGACCTGCTAATTTGCACAGATGAACACATTCTACATAGGTTACGTTCACAGCTGACATCCCTCAGAGATTAAAAGTGCAGTCTTGAACAGGGCATAAGATGGCTCTTTTATTTTTTTAACTTTATGAGCCCCAAACAATGAAACTCAATAAAAAAGGCTTCTCTTTGGTCACTAACCCATGTATTCCATTTGATCATGAAAGAGATTATAACTTAAGGCCAGACAACAGGCGACCCAGGTTAACAGTGATAAATCTAGCAGAGTTTTGCATTAAGTACCAAACTGCTTTTAACAGGATCCAGCCCAAACAAAAAGCAGCCCCACACTCACACTGAGACATTTATTTCAGACAAAAAATGTCCCGCTGACACAAACCAGATCTATTCTGTTACGGCTAACACAGACAAAGTTGTGCTGTAGGGGAATCCTGTTGTTCTCTTTGAAAATAGAATTAGTGTTAGGTTTCCTCTGTGAAGTAAGTCTATTACACAGGAAAGTAGTGCACTTCATCACCTGTAGCTCTTCAACAGGAAACAAGAACTGAGGGATAACTGCTGGGTTTGTCCAGGTTACTGTGAAGAACAATGACTGCTACAACCTGCGTTTTAATTGACCCTGTTGTTAGGAGGCAGAACAGCTCCTCAGGTCTAATCTGATCTCTCTGCGTCCTGTGGCCCACGTCATTTAAATGCCTCGGGAGGTGCCTCTAGAAGCAGTGCGGAGGTGAAGACTGCTGCTTAAAGAGGAAATGCAACTATGTTCATATTTCGGGGGTTAGAAAGAATCAGCATTGACGAGTGCATTTTAAACCACAATAAAAGTAAAAAACCTGACCTCTGTAAACAGTTATTTGTAAAACCGCCAATCAGCATCACAAAACGGAACAAATCTGCAAGTATGTGCAGCGCCAGGTTCTGTGATTCACAATGAGGCAACAGAGCTTCCGTGTGAGGTGAAGAGGTGAAGAATCTTATTACATTGTAAACAAGGAGGCTTGTGAAACCATCTCTTATAATCCAATAGAATTATTGCTCTCAACTTCGAGACGGTTTTGCCGACAAATACTACTTACTGATAACCTTGCATGCAGATCACGTTATAACATTTCTGCAGTGAAATGCATGACGCACAACTCGTGCTTATTCACTTGTACATCACATTACTTATTCGCTTGTAAATTGCATTACTTTAGTCAGTACGGTGACTAGTGAGCAGGAAGGGCTGCATGTCATCGCAACTTATGAGACCTTGAATGCGAGTTTTGCGACAACAATGCGACTTACAGTACTTTCACAAAGTTTAAGACTTTTTGCTTGATTTTAAATTTGTAAACTGTTTCTATTTTTTTCCCCTTCAACTCTGTTGGCAGATGATCAGGTCATGCAGAGACATTAGGCGGGAAAAGTTCTAAGACTAATATCGTCAGTGTTAAGCAGCTATGTTTGATCTGAAACTGGGGGGCTGCCTGGATCTCTTAAAGGTTTGTACCAGTAAAAAACAGTAAAAGTCAAGTAAATACTCAGGATTCTGGCCTGAGCCCAGCCCAGACAATGTGGAAGTCATGTACCCGCCCCAGGGAGGGATACAACAGAACCTTTCCAAGAGAACTTCAGTAACCCCAAACAACACAGCCAATGTGTTTTAAAAAGTTGTTCTTAAAAATTCTGCTCTATCTCGGGTTTAGGCAGGGCTGAGTTGATACAGATGCAACTGTCTTTCCACTGAAACAGCAAAATAGTCCACGTCATCATCATGATCCAAAGCTGCTATATTTCCGGCATTTTTTCATTTTCATTCAGGGCCAAATCTCATTTTTGGATTAGTTCTGATTTACATTTTTAATAAAGGCATTTAGTCAGATTTCCACATTATCTTTTTATCCAATAATCTTGTCAAATTTCCTTAACTAAAAATATCCGTTAAATAAACAATGTTGAGTTGTTATAATGTGTGTGGTCCTGAAGATGTGTGCAGCAACTGTGTAACTTGAATACTAAGAGCAAATAATTTTAAACCTGCCAAAATTTTTAATAACCCACCAGCCAAAAACCTGTTTACGGAGGTCAGATGTTTTTTTTAAATCAGATCTGTTTTAATTCATCCTTTATTCTGCTTGAAGGTGATGTACATGAAGACTGCAAACATTTGAACTGGCTTGTAAAAGCTGACACTTCGTTAAAGACAGTAAGCAAGAGAAAACCGCTTGCAAACATTTTTCCATTTCCCACAAAGCTCCATGAAGTTTGTAAAAAATATTTTTACTCATTTTCCAAGCATACAGAATTGCAGCCAGAGTTAATAAATCAGCATCTTTCCATCTTGGCTACCTAGTTACAGAACCCCAAAACTACCAGCGATTTGTCTCTCATTTGTTCAGAATTATCTTGCACTAATCCTGACACCACAAATCTAATGTGGCAATAGTGCATTCTGTAGGAATACGGCAAAATCCCTACTTGTCACATGACTGGCGAAGATCGAGATCACAGGGATTATAAGTCTTTAGTGTCCACTGAATAATTACCCTCTCATTATGTGGTATGGAACTCAGGTTGGATTCTGCAAAGTTTATGACTTTGTGTTGACAACCAGAATCAGTGGAAAGAACTCGAAAACACATTCATTATGGACCAGCCTCGAGACATCAGGAAGAGACTTTGACACCACATGAAACAGTTTTACATCACCTTAATACAAGAAGCACCACCACAGCAATAATTTCTAATCTACAGCATGTCAAGACAGGAAGAGGAAGACGTAATTGGGGACTAAATTCAAAATTAAATTTACAGGCCTCCTTAAAACTCTTGATTCTAAAAACGTATATTTCAAAACCATGGAAAATGTATCTTAAAGACAAAACTTCTTGGTAGACAGTAGGTGGACATTTCCAGTGAGGATAAATTCTGTGTATTTTTGAAGCCTTTTGATTTGTAATAAATGTTTTCGAACGGGTACTGCTTTAGAAATAATCTCCACTTTCCCACCACTCCATCCGGGACTTACAACACAGGAAAACGAACGGGGCCTGAGGCTCCTGTGGGTTACAGAGAGGCCTTTAACCTCTGGTCGTTTCAGATGCTGGGAGGCGGCTACGGCTGGCACACCTCTGCACGCCTGTTTTACCCAGGGGCGGCGAGGATGCGACCGAGTGAAAAGGCTACCTGTCCTTCCCCAACGACGTGGGTGTCGATGATGGTGATGATGCCAGGGGAGTGCGGGCCGCGCCGCACAGCACTGTGAGCGGTGACCTCCTCTTCAGGGACGGCTGTGGGCAGCGTGCCCGCCAGCTGGGTCACCACTTTGCCCACCATGGTCAGCCCTGACTTCAGCGTCTGTGGAGAGAGGGAGAGACGACACAGGCTAGCTGCAAGCGACACCAGACAAGGAGGATGCAGAGGCCATCCTGCAGACACTGTAGGACTAACCAAGGGAGCCCGGGAAACATGCCATGAGGACAAAGGTCCTTCAGCCTCTTGACGTCTTGAAGGACCCCTGATTCATTTCATGATCCTTCACAACAGGCACTCAATCGCCGCATCTCAGAAATATTAAAGAAGGCTTTTCCAAACGCTTGTGCTAAAATAGTTTCTAAAATAAATGTTTGTAAACAGCAAAGTCAAAAGCCCCTCCCTGATCTATTTAAATTACCTTAGTTCATGAGTGTGAAAGCGAACAATTTATCCTTTTTTTTGGGGTCTGCGTAGGCTGATTTGAAATAAATCTGGTGTGTAAGAAAAAGCCTAATATCAGTAGGGAAGGAATGTTCCTCGGAAAGCAGCAATTATGAAAAACTCATGCGATGGAAAAATAATACAGCGGAAGCGGGAGTTACATTTTAATAAGAGTTTGGTTTAAACATCAGTCCCCACTTGTCTCACATTTGCCCTTTCTTAAGGAGTAAATCTGCTGTAATAGATGAAACATTAAACGAACACTCACAAAAAAAGATTTCGGTCGAGCAAGCACCTTTGAATAAAACTTTAAATTCTTACGTATCAAAAAGTTATCCTTATACACAAAGAATCATGGATTAAAAAAGGTTAACCCCTCTCCCAGTCCTGCCAGAACCAGGCAAACTGCCTTCGCAAGTCCTGATGAAGCTGTGGAACACGGCCGTCTGCCACCAAGGCTAGGCCACAGATCAATGGAGACTGTTTTGATTAGCACTAAAAACTCAAACTGCAGTGATTAGAAAACACATTAGTGTTGATCAATTAGAAGGTAAACGCTTCTTTTAATAATTCATGGCCGGCAATTTACACACAGTCTGTTAGTGGCTTGTCAGAGAGACCTCCAAAGGACCAACAAAATCAGGCGCCACACTGTATTGACGGCACTACCAAGCCTGAATGCCTGATTAACCTCTCCAGGGTCTAAGCTAAGGTGCAGGCCTCACTCCATTAACGCAGATAGAGGAGAGAACCCACTTAAGCTGTACAATCCATTTACTATAACCACACTGCCTCAGGACTGGAACGGCTATCTTTTACTCAGACCTTTGAAGAATCCCTTAATAAGGGAATAAAAAGAAGCAAATGCAGCCAAGTGTTTCTGTGGCTTTAATCCATGACAAAAAAAGCCAGAGCCAGTTGTGCCCCTGTTCTGATTTTTTACCTGAGATTTTTTAAATGAGAAGCTGAACATCATCTTGCTTTAGGATTTGGTTTTGATACTCTGCCGTACAGAACAGTATAAGAGAGTGATGTAATGCGGATGTTTGTGAGGAATTCTTTCAGTCAGGGACTTCCATGCCCTGTGCGCAAAGCAGATTTCAAAGGAGACCAGGGCAGGGAAAAGGTGCATCAGAAAGCTGGGGTATTATAATTAATTACAGCATAAGCCTCAGCCTGGCATTCTTTGAAGCTGAAATTCCTAAACATATTTTCTTGTCATATTGTTAATCTATGGCACGTTCCTTTAGATGCATGCCAACGGTACTGCTCTCACGTAAGCTGTTAGGACTCATTAGGAAGCTATTGTGCAGCAAGGGGAATACAGATGGAGGCCTAACAAATCAATTAACCACCCTGGGGTCAGAAAGACTAAAAACATTTGGAAACAGCCATAATCCTGGCACGTCAACGTTACAATCACTTTCAGCTGGCCTGAAAAGTGCAGCACTGCTGTAGCGCATGCCACCTTTTTCTCAAGGATGTCATACTCAAGGTCATGTGAAAGCCTTGCTTTCTACAGCTCATTCTTTCCAAGAATTATAGAGGCACCCCAAGACAAATACTTATCAGCACTCGCTAAACCGAGCTGAAAACCACACTCGCTTTAATGAGCACAGCATTAAAAATGAATGACTTATATCCGTGTAAACATTTACAGAAGAAATGACATTTTTAAAATAAAAGGAGAAATGTGGGCACAAGATCAAGTGTACGTTAAAGTAAAAGGGAGCGCGGGCCATGAGGGCTCAAGAACACTGTGTTCTTACTGTTTTCTCACTCATCAATACAAATAATCCTGTAGTAAGTGAATAATGCCTCGCAAGCAAAGGCCTGAAATGCACACAGTATGAAGCTGTCAGAGTGATGGGTGACAGGGAGTACTCACTTTGGCAGCACTAATGACCGTGGCGGTGTAGGACTGGGCATTGTCTCCACAGGCTCCGCCGCGAGACTGATGACACCGGATCAGCTGGGAGAGGCAAAGACAAGCGGGCCACATCATGCCATTAGTTTAAACATTTAAAGGTCTCCAGCAGTCATTAGCTCTGATGGTATTTATTACAGTCTCCCTGTGCTGTAGGGAGGGGGGATTGTCTCAGAAGGGAGAGCATTACATTAGGAGCGCCTGCCCCTGTTTCCTAAAAGGTCTCGCTCAGGTGCAGCTTTGCGTTTCAGGAACAAACAACTCGTCTGTAATTCCCTGTAATTCACCACCGAACCCCAGCATGTGGTCCCATCTGTTCATTACAAAAGAGACGTGCATCTATCAGAAGGCAGGAGAGATAACTCTCCATTAAATGTATTGCAATGAAATGAGGATCTCTCTAAAACATTCCACATCAACCACCATCCATTAATTTTTTTGGTACTTTTTTTTTTTAAGATACTCTTCCTGATATGATTCACTGTGCTTATAAAAATTACATTTAATATAAATGCTTTTTACGATTGTTAATATGAAAACCTTCGTGGGCCCACCATGCCCAGAACGTTAAGTTCATGTGTAGCCAGTCGCGAAACATGTGGGACAGCCTGCTATTATTCTTACCTTGTTCTCAGCATAGGCCAGCCAGCGGCTTCCGAGAGCAATAGGGTTCAAATTGGGCCCGGGACAGGGGTAGCAGCCTAAAAATACACAGCGCCAGATAACTTCTCAACACCACCTTGGTGGCCGAATGAAACAGAGATTGTGGAGAGGCTGCGTGTGTGGGGGTGAGACAGGAGAGTTTCTGCTACAATAGTGCAATACTAAAACTGGTTTAAAAACTATTACTGCCCTGGAACACCGTCGTCTCTAAACTGCAGCCCTCCAAATGACTTTTTAAGGTTTTGCTAAGTACTCGATACATCTTTGTTTAAAATGAAAATGAACTGATCCAATTAAAACGAGACTAAAAAGCAAGTACTAAGCATTCGAGGAATCAGAGAATGTGAGCAACAGAAAGCAAGTCTCATGGTGATTCATGTGAGAGGTGTCACCCTTGCTTTGCAACACCCTTAATATGCTCCTGAATATTACTAGTTTAGACAAGATGAATGAAGGGTGGACTGGAGACACTATTATGCTATCCTGAAAACGTTTAAGGCCTAGAGTCAGGAGAGCAAATGGCCATCGACCAATTATGTGAACTACGCAGGAGGCCGTGTTATCCGATCACAGGCAGGGCAGCTTCTGTACTGATTAACCAGCAGCCATAATGACCCCCCCCCCCACAACAGCAGAGAGAAAACCGCAGCCATAAGCAACTAAGCTAGCAGCCTCAGTGTACTGACTGGACAGGAGGCCAAGTAAGTAGAACAGAGACAGGGAGCAAAGTTTCCAGCTCCAGTACACACAGTGAGGTCATTTAAGTGCAGATTTCCAATAGAAAAGAAAAAAGCACGCTGACAGTTATTTAGTGCTCAGTGCGCAGATAAAATGTATGCAGACAGTAATTTACTGTTTAGTGCTTGGATCTGAACTGGGGTGAATAGGACTTGAGGTAAGCCACAAGCACAGTAATGCAAAACCCTTTTGTGCTTTTCCAGGGAGAAAGAGCCAATGGAGTGAGATAACATGTGTTTAACACATCCTGTGTGGAGGGGCTCGAGGATTTTCTGTATTGTTCATAAACCTCATATTTATCCTGAGCAAGGACCATGTAACATTACCGAGAAAAGATACTTGAAGAAAAACATGCAGAAAAAGATTAAAAATAGTATTTTCTCATTTAATTTTCCCCTAGGAAGCAAAAAAAAAACCCAAAGAGAAACAGAGCAAAGACTTATCGCTCTGCGTAGATGCAACTGGCTTGAAAAATGTAAGATGATTTGATTTTTTTTTACAGTTAATTGTAAGTGCGACAAACAAATTGCTAGGCCGTATTTCTAAAATAAAAAGCCCCAGCTTTCTGTTTAATGAGAAAGAATGTAAAGTTATTCACCAGTAGCCCTTCCTGCAGTGCAGACAGTATGGGGAAGGCAGACAGACAAGTGATACATTAAAACTACACTAATGGCAATTTACAACCTGCATTTACAAGGACAAAGTGAGCCATATAAGTTTTTAATAGGTCAATTACAGACCAGTCTACTCCTGACTACAACTGTCAAGTTACCCATTCTTTAAACGAGTTCACATCTCTCACAAGCTCGCATTTTGTAATGTTTGTATTTTTTTCCTTCTTAATAAATAAATAATTTTAAGTCTCAGTGAAGACACAGACATTCAATATTTTCCATATTCACTACAACAAGAACATAACTCAGGTGCAACACAGTACATAGAGTATAAAGGAAATGAAAAGTAAAATAATAAGAAGAAAATATACAAGATTTAATCAGAATTACCCACAACTATCAAGGGATTATTGACCATAACAGCATATTAGAAATAAATAAATAGACCTAAAAATGTATATTTGATGACAGGACAGCTAAATTTAAGGACAAGCAGAGATTACCACACTCCATTGAAAACTTCGAACATACTTAACTGTTGCTAATGGCAAGTGAAAGAAAAAGCACAAGTTCATTTCTGATTTTATTATATTGGGCCGTAACAGTTTCAAAGGAAAACAAAAAAAAAATGGTGAAAGCAGCCCCACTCTATTTGTTTATAATCTACGTCCGCTGACTCTATAGGTTGGTCTGACACAACTACTTGTGGATTTACAATAACAAAAATGTGCAAAGCTGATTAATTCTTTGAGGATTTCCTGTTCTGTGGTGCTATTGATCAAAGAACAAAAAACAAAACAAACATGCCATATGAATATTTGATTGAGCTTAAAAGGAGGAAATATAACAGAATGCCACCATCAAAAAAGTAAAAAAATAAGGATCTTACTTACTTGTGACAAAGAATTTTTTTGTAAAAGTACAGCTATCAAATGCAGCGATCTTTTCTTGCAGAACTACTACAAGGATCCTACGGAACAAGGAATAATGTTGTTAGTGGGAACATTTTGATTTTTATATACATGTTATTACTGCCTTTCTTTCAGAAGTCCAGCATGAAAACAGGCAAGAGCTATATGTAGACGTTTGTCTTTTTAAAGACAGATGAAACAACTCTCAAGTCAAATAGTTTTGATCCCAAGCATCACTAAAGAAAGTGTAAGAGGTGTTCACCGTTTGTTGCAGTGAAGGTCGTGGATTGGAGTTTTGAACTGGATGGATTTCACCATCTCCCCGGTCCTCAGAGAATACAGGTCCACACAGCAGTAAGGGGGGCTTGTGCTGGAAAACACAGAAGACTCGACACAGTCAAAAGTCACTCCAGTGCAGCCCGCAAGAGCAAAACATAACAAAAGAAATCGATCTGCAGGTGACATTCAGCATTTTTTTGTAGTTTTAATGTATTTACCCCAAACAGTAAAATAAAAAACTATAACTGCTCCAAAACATACCACAATTTATGGCTTTTGTTCTCCATAATGTAAAAAGCAAATCCTTCAAAACGTACTAACATATATATCCCTTTATATTTTTTATCTACAGTGGAGCAAAAATGTATTTGTTACCGAACAAACAAGCATAACAACAAGCAACCTAAATACCACCAGCATGACAACACAAAAACAGATTCACCCAACAACACCCAGATGAAAAAGCATGAGCATTTATATACACTACAGTAACGATTAGCCCCATAGAGGGAAATGGTGAGAGAGTTATACGCTTGGCTGTATAACTTAAATGAACTAAACGCCAGGCTACATTTTCATAAAGCATATTAAAATTAATTTATTAATTTAATCCTTCTCAAACATTATATTATCTTCCCTATCCAAGCAGAGGCTTCAATAAGTTATAACAGTCAGCCAACTTTTTAGGAAGGTTTGGTTTAATTTGGTGCAGATTTCCTACGCAGCCGATCCATTTAGTTTCTCTGGGTTACTGATTCTTATTGTACATACAAAATATCAAAATATCCTGCTGCTACAGAATTAAAGACAATTCCAAACAATGAAAATAATATGCTTATGTATCAATACCAGAGGCTTCACTAATTATTCAGGTAAACTGGAATTTTAAATGGCTCCTAATTTAACATGAGCTCAAATGTGTTTATTCACATTCAAGAAAGACATGAAAAGTAATCAGCTGATGAAGAATAAAACTTTTGGTAGATGAAGAAAGCAATGGTAGTGCTTTGAACATTTATATTTACCATGTGTAATTAAATTACTACTACATCAAACATTTTAATTCATTATATAAATAACACAAACAAAAAAACAATGCATTTTGAGGGTAAATTTATAAAGGGTCCATATGTAACAGGTGACACATATCCAGTTAGGAACCAATGAACATATAGCCAATAGATTTTTACAACAAACTGGACAAAATACATTCTGAAGTCATGCTGTATTTAAAAATGTTTCTCAAAGTGTCTTATCCCCAACAATAAAACTGAGTGTTGGAAGGACACTCAACTCTCTAAGCACAAAGACAATCTTTAAACAATTACAGATCTTCAAAAAACAAAATCTCTTTCAATCACATCCTCAGATTTATTTCAAACATATTTACCAACTTTCATGTGTCAATAGGATTGTAATATATGTCCGTATTAACAGTAATTTAAATTGTTCATTTTCTTTTCATGGCTGAAAAGATCTGCCCCTTTCATTCACAATTCTGACAGATGCAAACAGTGGATGAAATATTGTGGGCAAAGAGTTGAGAAAATTACAGTTTTTCAAAATATGCACATATCAGTGAAGCACAAAGCAGCCAAGACATCTTAAACTAGCCACAAATTGTCAAGAACATGGAAGCACTTATGAGTTAAATAAAAAAAGCTGCACCAGTCTAAGACATATGCTACTTGATAGTTCAGAATCTCAGCGATGGAGAACCATATAGTTTTTAACTTCCAATGAAAGTTCCTGAAGGGAGAAGCGATGATAGATAAGACAGCCCGTACATTCTTTTTATAAACCAAAAACCTTTTGTGCGCTCCTCTGCTAGATATTATTGTGGGCTAACATATATTTATTCTATGCCAATGATATTGCCGTTCTGCATTATCGCATTCATATTTCCAGGTTGTCAAGTGCAAAACAAAACAAAAGTTTCCTGTAGATAGTAGGCAAAGGGGTGATTAGCTGAAAGCTCTTTAACATTGCACTAAAAATGCAGGTCTCTGCAAATAAAATAACCGAGATCCTTTTCCTCCTTCCCTCAACATTTATTTAAATGGGACTCTAAATGCCTAACATTTACCCTCAGGAAACCCCAAATAGCCTTGGGTAGATGGGCACATGGCTTATCTCCATAAAATGCATAGACAGGGATGTGTCCTTTGGTTACTACAGAGCTTCCCAATCCAGCCAGATAGCTCTTACACTAGAGCTCCAGGCAGGATTTGGACTCCAAAGCCTCCCCCCTCTGAGGTTGCAATCGGATTAGGATGTGCGTGTAAATGACACGATTTCTGAGCCTGCAACAGCTGCCACAGCAGCAGCATCGGCACCAAAAGCACAGCAGAGCGCGGAGGGGGTGGTGATGGGAGAAGCAGCCAAAGAGCTCATCACACTTCTTGACTTTTTGCTTGGCTGTTTGAAAAGGCTTCACAAGCCAGTAAATGAATCTTGTCTACAAAAGCCAAAGTGCAGTGGGAGCTCTCAGATCTCTGAGGCCACGAAAGCCTGGACCTGGTTAAAATTTAAAATAAAGAACCACTGAGAGAGAGAAAAGCTTCTTCAGTGGAGGATATCTCGGTATGTGGTTCACATTTACATCGCTGGGGCTGCCCATGTGCAGAGAAACGCCGGCATGCTGCTTCAGACGGCATCATCCGGCACAAATTTGACACATCGCGTCCCAAAACTGTATTACATGTTTCATCCAAAATAACCTCTTCATCTCAACAGAGGCTTTGGGAAGATAGCAAAACCACTTTTAACCAAGAAAATAAAAGCCATCGTGAACATGTGGGGGATTTAGAACGCTTGGAAAGAAAGAAAGAATGTGGAGTTTCTATATGCTACTGTCATAGGGCGTTTTGCAGGGTGACTCACACCAAGTGAAAATAAATCTTTGCCTTCCTTTATAGATCCCTTATGGCAGGCAGGACATGATCCAGTCATCCACAGAAAAAAATCTGTTTTAGACTCCTGTGTGTAGCCAGAGTATAGCCTACATAGGCAAAGGTGTGTTTTAATAATCGGAGTCACACATTAACAAAATCAGTTGATAGATAGCTAACAGAAATATAGGCTACTTTTAGTTTAGCAACCACACTAATCAAAGAAGAAGACTTTTTTTCATATTCTTTAGAAACATCTACTATTTCTATGGCAGATGCACATCATTTCATTAGGCTTCAGCTTCCTGTGTCTTTCTTGTACGTATTGATGTTAATAAAAACGTGTTATCCATTTTTAAGAAATTGTATACACCATCATTAATACTTAATTCTAGTCATCTACAAAATAACAGCACTACTCCTGTAGTTTCTGTTTCTGTACAGACCTCTCTCAGAATGGACTTCAGGTGGAATATATTAAAAAATACTGGTACACTGGAAGGATAAAATAATCATACTGCCCAAACTGAGCATTTTAACAAGGAATACGATACAAAACAAGTGCATTTCAAATCTCGAGCAATGGGAAGATGATTCCTTGTATTACAAACTATCATGATGAACACTTTGCCTTTTTATTTTAATAAATGGCCATCCTCTAATGGAAGCAATACAAGGTCAGTTGAAATATAATTTGCTTAAGCTGAAAAAAAACTAAACCATGAGTTAAAAGCTTAGGTAAATTGCAATTATTATTACGAATCATGTCTGAATGTCAGACTTACACATGGTAAGGTGCAACTGAGCACCATCCTCCAAAACCTATAAGATAACTGTTGTGATTGCATTATATTAATGTATCAATTACAATTAATTAGATTATTCTTTAAGTGGGAATTAAAGCTGGACATTTTCAGGAGACAAATCATTCAATTAAACTAAGAAGTACCAGCAAAAAAAACATATATAGGAAACAGACAAAAAAAGCAATAGAATTATATTAGTAATGTAACAAAGTACCCTACTACATCTTTCACAAACACATGCCATAGATCAGACTACAAACAGCAACCTCCATAAAGATGGCAAGACCCACAGGGTATGCTTCTCCTTTCCTTTTTGTTCTCTAACAATTCTTCAGAACATGGATTTCCTCAGTACACATTACCCAACTTCAATTACTTGGTTGAGTATTATTAACCAACCAAACATAACCCCTGCTAAATCCATCTCATTGGAAAAGCCAAACCCATAAAAAGACATGCATGTCTCCTTTCATCCTCCAATCAATGCTACCAGACTGAAGAACTGTTACTGTTACTGCAACTTTTAGAACATTTATTACTTTTACAACCAAGGTTAGTTTTAATTTTAGTAACACTTTACAATTGTCATTATCCAAATTATGTCAGTTGCTTGCTGTTTCATCACTTCTGGGTTTTCCTACGCTAGCCGACATCTGTTATTTCAGCTCTCACAACTGCCTGCGCCTGCGGTGCTCCACGTATCTTTTGCAGGAGACAGCTTTAATCCATCCATTTTATTAACCTGAGTCGAACGAAGGAAAACCACACGCTTCATGTGGTGTACCAAGCACACATGAAGCCTGAAAATTAATTAAACCAAAGTGAAAAAATTCATTTATAAGGGAACGTCACCACATTCAGACTGTGGCTATTTTTTTTCATTTTTTCATTACTCTTCCAAATGTCTACAAATAATTACAGCCTCAGTTATAAGCATCAGTACCCTTCCACCCCAACAATGTCATTTGCTTATTATAGTAGGTGTTTGCAAGTTAAGTGACACTTAACTGACAATGGTGGAAATTGCATGTGGTGTCGCTGGCACTGGAAATGATGATGCACGTGCATGTCTGGGGAGCAGAAGCTGAGAAAACTGGTCCTATGGCCGAAACAAAGTCACCAAGAGGAAGGCAGGGTAAAACTCATAAAAGCAGACATCCAGGCCTAATTTCATGTGAAACGCATGAAAAGAATACGGTCTCTGGTGGATTCAGATATGGGGATCTGTAAATAGTTGCTTTGGGTACTTTTATTGTATACCTCCTGGTTAAGTATATACGGCAATTGTTCCTTCTTTCAGCAAGTCGTGAAGTTAAGAGATTTAACTGGATTTCATACAATACAGAGAGAGCAATACAGGGAGATTCACAACTTTATCACACCAGCCCAACACT